ACGACTTAGTTTAAAGTCGTCTGGGCAGACGACTTGCGAGGGCTAAAAACGTCAAAAAAAAACTCTTTTTTTGTTTGTTCACAAGGGGTTGGTTGTAATTTCAACAGCCTTTTAAGTTACTTTTGCATTTGATTCAAGTTTGGGTTTACTTTTGCATTTCAAATCAAGTTTTGAGTCATATTTGGCAATTTTCCCTTTATATTATGTGATAAAGTCTTTATCAACCTTGAAAATAATTATATTTGTTAACATATAATTAATTATAAATTAAAAATGAATCTCATGAATTTGATAATTATCTTTATTTAACTTTTTTATATTGTGTTATAAAGTCTTTATTACGTTGAAAAATAATTATATTTGTTAATATATAGTTAATTATGAAAAATCAATTTGTAAAGAATTTATGTATAGATAATTTATATTGTGTTATCCAAAACATTATTAAAGATAATTTTTTATACTTTTTTTGTTATGTCTAAAAATGATATTAATTTATTACTAATGTTTTAAGTTTATGAGTATTTTCAAATATAAGTTGTGTAATGAAAATTATTTATATGATGATGAAAAATTTTATAAATAAAAAGAATTTGTTAGTTTATTATTAAATATTTGAGTCTATGAACAATAATTTATTATAATTTACATAATTTGCTTATATATTTATTTATAGATATTAGTAAAATTATTAAGCCCGCAAGTGCGGGCAAAACACCTAGTTATATATATATACATATATATCCCTTTATTCTTTATATATTTTTCATATTCTTTTCCGTCTTCTAATTTTCTTTATTTTCCTCTTCCCCTTGCTCATCCTCCTCTTTTCCTATATACAATAGTAAATTTCTTTATTCTTTGTACTATATTAACCAGATCTATCTTTTCACATACTAGATTGCTCAAACTGCATCAAAACCCTACAAATAAATAATACTAAAGAAACTAAATTCTTCCTTATAGTTGTATTTTTGTTTGAAACAATCTATTTTGTATCGACATTATAAATAGAATGGTGTTTGATTGTAATATGTTATACACATAGTCACGCACCCTGAAAAAGTGCAATACATATTATGGGGAGATCGACACAATTCTCAAGTTATAATTATTTTATTAATTTTTCTCTACTATGATTATACCACAAACTCACCCTTTTTATCCTAGTATAAACATGAAATATTACAACATATAAAGTATCAACATTATTTCAAAAGATATATATAGGGATAAAGAGAGAGACGTCTAATTTGTATTGAATCATATCCACAAAAAATTAGAGCTTTTATTTTATTTTAACTTTCTAGCTATATAATCTTTAAGTTTCTTTTCTTTTTTGCATTCTAATTTTTAAAATTATAATATATTGATTACATTGACCTAGACCAAACAAAATATTGGAAGCAGTTTACAAATCTGAAACTGGATAAAAAAGCAAAATAACTCATGATCTAAATCTAGATTACGAAAGATAAGATCAAAATAATAGCCATCCGCATGTCTTCTATTTAAAGGTATATAACATTGCTAGAGAAACATTTATCTTTCATAAAAACCACCAAATGTAACTAATCCAATGACTCTGATTGTGGATATCTTCGTTTTTAGTATCTCACAACATTTAGAGAAAGATTAAAATGAGATCTTTGACTTAGATAGGATTCAACAATAGATCTCATAATATCTTATCTGATTTAATCAATCCATTAAAATAGTTAGTTTAAAATAAAAACTAGATTTTGACCAACGCAAGTGCACGGATTTTATTTTCATTTTTATATACATAGATATTTGTTTTACATCATCAGTGAAGTTAGCCATCTATGTTTATATAACTACTACAAACCCAATAAGTTTATAGTTTACATGTTAATGTCAATCATTTTTATTATATATTTCGCTTATTGGATTTGTATTTGATTAGTAAGTAAATTATATGTATAAAAATTTATATTTTGAACATTATTTTATATTTAATTTATACTAAATTCCGATCCAGGTTTCAAAGTTGGATTATTTAGCAAAATTTGTGTGTTTATTTAGATAAAATATATTTGTAAATATAAAAGTTTATACGTTAATTTTATACATGTATTATATAGTTACTAATGTTGACCCTTTATGCCAACATATTATATATTTTTAATATCATCATTTTCCATTTATGAAAAATAAATAGATAAATTTATCAATTTAATATATTTTATAATATTTATTTCAATATAATAATTTTCTTTTAATACGATAGGCTATGTTTATAATATTTATTTCAATATAATAATTTTTAATATGATAGATTATGATTATAAAAATATAAAAAGGATATAATTTTATTTTTCACTTTATAAATGATAACTGAATATATATTACTGTATAATTATATTTCATTACTAATTCAAAATTAGTGAATTATTTACACAATGTTTATAAAATTAAGATCATCCTAGAAACTTTTTCAAAAGATTTTTTAATTTTTAATATATATTTATATGTAAAATAAAAAGATATTACAAATATTATGATTAAAGTAGTTAGAAAGATTTTATTATTAGCTTTAATTAAATATATTTAGTAAAAATTATTTGTGATGGTCCAAATAAATAAAAAATTATAAATGAAATGAATCATGATTTCTATTTTAATAGAATAGATGTTACGTTGAATTTTTTTCTAATTTATAACAATTCTGGTGATTAAATTTGACGATATAATGGAGCACCACTTAATACGGCAAAGAGATAATCCTAATCGACATCCTCGAATATTATGATGTGATTCCTCTTGAAAGTCTACCTATGAAAAACTTTTTATCACCATTTTTTCATTAACTAAATGTAAAATTTTACACTTAAAGAGAGACTCAGATAGCAAACATGAGCATGCAAAAGGTGATTAATCTTATATATTAAAACAGAAGTCATGACTTGATTTCATGTGTGATTTTTTAAAAAATGGACTATTACTAGAAAGTTATGTTACATTAACTCTCTAATAATATTATCATTATTATATCTTATAATATGCTTAACAATTTTGTTTTGGTAAATTGCCCCACACCTTCCAACTTAATCACGCAAAATATGTCAATAGATATAAATTTAGGAATCTTCTATTATTTATAAGGAAATATGTCAATAATAGTTAAATGCATCCAGAATATATTAACAAAAGTCACAGATTATTAATATGTAATATTTATATACCTTAACAAAATTTACACGTTATATATATTAGATAAATTTATTTCGATGAAATTTTTTAAAATTGTATTGTTTAAAAAAAAAGAAATTGTTTAAAATTTCCTTTTTAATAAACTTTTTATAATATTAATTTATGAAGCTATAAGTTTAGTTTTTAGCAAAAATTTCTTCGAAGTTTATATTAAATTTGCAAATTAAATTACACTAATATTTAATCAAGCTCTATTTATATTACTTTATCTAAAAATGAAATACTAATCTAACAAACAATAAAATATAGAAGAAGAAACAAACACATGTTTGAAAGTCATGTATAATATAGAAAATTTGAAACAATCTATTTGATTAAAACATTTATTATATAATATTATTATGTTTGAAAAACATTTAATATACATATCGTAAATATGTGATTACTATAATATATACCAATTTACAAGTGAAAACAAAATGTTTATATAACTATAAACAAAAACAAACATCCGCGCGGTTGCGCGGGTCGAAATCTAGTTATACTTAAAACAACAAGAACGGTGATATGGGGCTGAATCAAAAAATATTATGCTCTTGCATAATGTTATTGTAACATCCCGGTTTGTGGTATATGGAAAGGCTTAAGAGAATTGATTTCGCTACCTATGTCACCAAAGTGCACTTACCTTTTCGGGAGCACATCTAGAGAGAACTCCAGAGTTAAGCGTGCTTGAGCTGGAATAGTCAAAGGATGGGTGACCTATCGGGAAGTGGTTTGTGATACCGTGTAAGTGAGGCCAAAACACGGGGAAAGGTCGGGTGGTGATTGCAGGGTCAGTAAACATGACTCTAGAGCCTTGGAAAATTAACGGACCGTCCGTTGGAATGGGATGGGGCCCACGAGCCGAGAGAGCGGGCGTGCGTGGCCTATTAGCCGTGGGCGGTCGGGGCGTTACAGTTATTCTCACTGAGGCATGTGCCTCCAACTATAGATATATCAAAAATTCATACGGTGTTCTCTGATTGGTTAAATCATGTTTTTTTTAATCAAATTCTTTGTGCAATCGACTGAAATCAAACATGGTTTACACAATATTTATGTTTTACCTCAAACAAACTAAAATTATCTAACATTTAATCACAGCAAGGTGATGAATTTTTTTTTAAAAAAAATCCAGTTTGATTTATTTCACATATATCATAAGTTGTAACATACATAAATACATTAATATTAAAAGCCTAATTCAAAATAAATAACTCTTAACTTATATGATATTGATTAATTAGTTTTATAGTCTCTTATTTCATCTCTATTGCATCAGCTTTATTCTGGAACTTTGTCCTCCGTTTCGATCTTCTGATATTTATCATTGACATCTTGATGATTTTGTTCACGACACCTTGTTTTGATTCCTGCCAAAGGCTCTTTCTCTTTTTCCTCGTTAGTAGCACTGCTAGCATTAACTAACCCCATACGTGCAGTTAAACTTATTGTGAAATATCAAGCAGACTGTGTCACTTGGGACACATATGAACCGGAATTTTTATTTGGTATGCTATGGTTTTGATACTTTTTTTTACCACCCTTGTCATTTGTGTCGATTTTGGTGTAATTGATAGGTTTAGGGTAAAAGGTTTCCCATTGATTATTAAAATTATTTGAAAGGTGAATGGTTGGATCAAAAGTTATGACACGTTCATGACCACTTTGGCTAGTGACCATAGTATTGATCGGAACCGTACCATAATCATACATGTTTGAGATAGTTGGAGTGACCTTACCAAAAGCATTTGGAGAGTGATTCCAAATGGTTTGACCAGAATTTATGACACGTTTGCCATGGTCATGGCCATTTTGGCCAGTAACCATATTATTGGTCAAGACAGTAGCATGATGATACATGTTTGGGACGGTTGGAGTAGCCAAAACTGGAGAAACTGAGGGTTAACAGATCCTGAGATGTGAGGCATTCTCAAAACATGAATCGTGTTACTTCTCGTCTTATAAGTCATGCGTGAACTGTTGAATGTTGAGGTAGATGAATAGACTTGTGAAGCATGGTAAGAAGAAGTAGAAGATGGAGATGAAGAAAACAAATTGGCATGTTTGTGTTTCCAGAAGTAATGAACATTGATCGAATTGTTCAGGTCTCATTTTGATTAATTAGGATGGGAACAACATCATTTTGGTTCATGTTATTATCTGCATAAGTAATGAACTCATTGTAGTGAAGGCATCTTGAGATTTGAGTGTGTGTTTTAGAATTTTTGCATATTTATTTATGTATAGTGTTTGTATTCCTACATAAAGGCTAAAATATAAAATTTTAAAAAGAAACATACAAGGAATCATATATTAATGGGTAGCCGACAAAAAAAAGAAGAAGGTGTCATATTTTTCATGTTGACTACAGTATAACTCTACAAATTAATAACGTTGTGAATGTTATATTTTTGCTAATTTATAGTGTTATTAAGTTTTTTTCAAATCCTTTTTTGATCTTATATTTTTATGATATATATTTTTTCTAAAATAAAAATACTTGATTTTAAGTGTATATACATTAATTCATTGTTTATAATTAAATATTTATATTGATTTTGTTAGGATGGGCGTTCGGATACGCATTCGGTTTTGGATCGGGTATTTTAAATTTTCGGGTATTTCGGTATAGGGGTTTAGTATTTGTTCGGGTATTTTATACTTGATTTTCAGTGTATATACATTAATTCATTGTTTAGAATTGAATATTTATATTGATTTTGTTAGTGTGGGCGTTCGGATACCTATTCGGGTTTGGATTGGGTATTTTAGCTTTTCGGGTATTTCGGTATAGGGGTTTAGTATCTGTTCGGGTATTTTTATACTTTGAGTCGGGTTCGGATATTTAGTTTGGGTTTGGTTTTTTTCGGATCAGGTATGGGTTTGTTCGGACCAGGTTTGGAAATTAAGATTTTGAAAAAAATCAAATTATTCATTGCTCAAATTTCTTGTATTTAAAAATATATATTTAACATAACTAAATTTTAATTTTTAATTGGATGATTAATAGGTTTGGAGATAAAAATTTAAGAATAGAAAGACACTAACTTGATTGTTATTTTTGAAATTTTGGATGTAACTTTTGGTAATGAACGAAATAACAACCTTACATGCATTTTAAGTGAATAGTATATCACTTTTGCCGAAATTATATATATATATATTATGTAATTATAAGTCATGTGTAACATCAATATAAATATTTTGAAAAATGAGAACTAAACTAGAAACATATGTTTAATTATACATATGTTCAGTTATCTTCCGGTATCCTTTTAGGTTTTGATATTATCTATTCGGATTTGAAAATCTAATATCTTCTAATTTAATACCCATTCGGGTATTTTACTATTACGGTTTGGATTTTAGTTTGTTTTTTTGGGTTGGCTTCATGTACTGATTCAGATATTGGGAAAGTTCCCAGTCCTAGGTTTTGTTATATTATTTGGTGTATATAAAATTTGTTTCATAGAGTTTAAAATGTGTGTTTAGATATAAATTTTCTAAATCTCATCAACATATATTAAAAAATAAAATATAAAGATAATTCCATCGTGAATATAAAAAATGTAATGATTAATTCCTACTTATATAAAATGTTAATACATATAAATTATTAGTTTATTATTTATGATACTATATATTTATATAGAATTTTCTATAAGTTAATTATATTATTATTTTATTTTTTGTCATATTTTGAACCGTTTTATCTTAGAACAAAAAATGTTAATTTATGATGTTTGTTAATTTATCGAACATTAACTTATAGATTTTTTACGGTATTTTTAATCCTACCTATGAAAATCCTCCATCACAATATTGTAATGAGGGATAACCTTTATCTACATTGTGTTATTTGGAAATAGTGAGGGTTTTTAACTCTCTTTTTGAGATAATTGCTTAGATGTGTTAAGTGAGAATAATTTATGGTATAATTATTGAATATTTTATTTTTATTAGTGTTCATATGGATGTTATTTAAAAACTACAATTATTTATTTTTATTGTATGTCATTAATACTTTATTCTTATAAGGGATTTTTGATGCTTTGTGTGGTTTTTTTGTGTGTTAGAAAATATATCTTATTAAGTAATTGAATTGTATATGTGCATTTGTGGTCTGGGAGATTTGGTTATTGGTACAACTCCTACGTAGGACTAACAATATTTGGATATTGTATTTTATCTTTCGTTTTAATTATTAAAACTTTGACGTTAATTGTATAAATTTTTAATTATTGATATTAATTTAATTATCTTTAGTACTTTCTATTTTGTAGTTTACTTTATTTTGAAAGAATACTTTTTAGAAATTTGTTTTTAAGAATAACAAATTAAGATGATGATTTGGCATATTATAAATGGTGTTTTAAAATCATATTAGAATTTGATCCACATTCCCGTGCGGGTATTTGATTTAACTTGTGTTCAACGTAAACTCACAACTGCTGGTTTTATAAAATATATATATATTTTTATGTTTTTTAATTTACATATGAGTAGAATATAATATTTTATAATATAAATTTTTAATAATAAAATTTTTAATTGTACATAATAGTATATTAGAAATTTTATAAATTGGATTAATTGTTTGCATTAATTTTCTATTAATTATCATTAATTTTTTGATATTTTGTTTTCTTAAAAATTGAACTCTCGAAAATTTATATTTGACTCAATTAAATAAGTTAATAATATATTTAAAAATTATTTTATATAATATATATACTATATATTTCAGTTTATGTTTTTATTTTCACCACAAAAAAAAAAGAAAAACCATTGTAATTAATTAATTTAAAGTTATTTTAAATTCAATGGTATAATATATAAATAAAAATAAATACAAAAGAAGTATTTAATTATTTTAAATCTAATCTCTAAATGTGCAAATAAAAGAAAGTACTTAATCTACTATCCATATTTCAAAATAATTCTCATTTATCCTGATATTCTTCTTTTTAATCAGTATCAAAAAAGTACGTCAGTTTTAATAATATAGATGTGGACACTCTCAATGACATATAACCTCAACTTTTATATACGTTAGATACTCTTGTATCTATTCAATACTTCATAAATTACAAAAAATAATCTCAAATATTTATGAGAAAATAGGGTCTATAACTAAAAGAAAGACATGTTTTATTTTAGTGTTTAAAAAATAAAAAACCAAAACAAAGACATAAATTAAGAAAATGACCATAACAAAAACATAGCTATATTTATATAATATTTTCTATTTTACCTTCATCACTTTCCCCTTTTGTTCTTATTTACTTTTACCAGTTTAAACATAACTATTCAAAACTTTTATTCACTTATAGAAACATAGATTTTTTCTTTATATGTCATGTTTTATTTTTTTTTTCTAAGATAAAAATATATTTATAAAAGTTAATATGTTACATTTTTTTCAAAATTATAATGTTTTATTCTATTTAGCATATATATAATAGAATTATAACACACTCTTCTTTTTTCTATTCTATATAGTATATAGATATAACACAATTCCTTTTTCTCTCTCAATCCCTCCCCTCCTCTCCCTCCTCTCCCTCCTCCTTTTCTTCACCAGCTCCATCTTATTTTTCACACTCCTTTTCTTTTTCATCCACCCTCTACGCATTTTAACAATATTTGTTATATCCTTTCTTTTTTAATTTTCCTTTATATTTTCTTCCATATTCTTCTCCATCCTCTAATTTTCTTTCTCTTCCTCTTTCTCTTACTCATCTTTTTTTTCCTATATACTTCCACATACAATATTATATGATCATCATATATACAATACTAAATTTTTTTTTGTACTATATTAACTAGATATGTCTTTTCACATACTCGATCCCTCAAATTGCATTAAGCTCTACAAATAAATAAGATTAAGAAAAAAAAATTATTTCTTATAGTTGTATTTTTATTTGAAACAATCTATTTTGTATCGACATTATAAAGAAGCGCATTAAATATTATGGAGAGTTTGACACAATTTTCAAGTCATGATTATTTTGTTAATTTTTATCTACTATGATTATACCACAAATTCATTCTTTTTATCCTAGTATAAACATGAAATGTTGCAACATATAAAGTATCAACATTATGTCAAAAGATATATTTAAGAATAAAGAAAGAGATTTCTAATTTGTATTGAATCATATCGACTAGGGCTGGGCAATCGGGGTCCCAATCGGGTTTCGGTTCGGGTTCATTCGGGTTTTGGGTTTTCGGGTTTATGAATTTTAGCCCCATTCGGATATTATAAAAATCCGGGTCGGATTCGGTTCGGGTTTAGTCGGGTTCGGTTCGGGTTTAGTAACATGTCCAAGATCCGGTTGAACCCGAAATAGTTTCGGTTTCGGATACTATCGGGTTATCGGTTCTAAAAATACTAATTTATACTCAATTAAACTCGCTATATTTTCAATCATTTTATTAAGTTTATGTATTTAGCTTCTACAAACCATATTGTTCTCCTTCAAAATAATATTGTGAAACTCATCTATCAACCATATAAGATTTTTCAATAAACTATATGTGACAACACTAAACATATCATGATTAATGACAAACCAAAGTCTTGTATGAGCGAAATATAATACATAATGAAACATAAAAAATTAAATTTAACAACTAACAATTCTATAAACATAAGAAGTGCTATTTAATCTTTTAAAAACAACATTATATATACTTCAAAACAAATTTATTCGTAACTTAACTTCAAATGTAATGTCAATCATAAACATTAATATTAACCAATTAACACTATATATTAGACTAAATATTTGAGTTAATTATTTATATCATAACTAATTATTGTAGGTACTCAACAATATATTAATCTGTTTTGG